TGTGTGTGTGTGTGTGTGTGTGTGTGTGTGTGTGTGTGTGTGTGTTGTTGCACACACCAGCTGCGCCGTTCCGCAATCGTAGATCCGCGTTACTGACGCTTCTGACGGGACGAAAGAATGCGCGCGGCACGGGCGCACCTCGTCCATGACCAATGAAACACCGCCGTGGAATGAATATTTGCCAAAATGGTCGATCGTTCTTTTCTTTTTCCCCCGTTTTGGCCACGGCGGTGATGATAATGCAATTTATCTCATTCGTTTGGCTCGCGTGTTCAAGTCGACCGAGCACTATCTCTCGTCGTTTTGTTCAAACGGGGCAAATGCACGAGTCGTACACTGCAATTTTGCAAATAGCAACAAGAGCTATTAAATAATAATAAGTGATTGTACAATTGTCCGTGACTGGGATTTCTTTTAAAGTGGTAGAATGATCTTTTCGAGCAAGACGACGCAGCCTTCATTCTCGTCGTTCATAAAGCGAATTTTCACTGTCTGGATGGATTTTTGTCGTACAGTACTGACAAACATTGAATATACCTTTTCTATTATTTGTAATTTTTCTTACAAATTCATGTACATATCTGTGCAAAATTTAAATCTACCAACACACGTACGATGTTTTATCGTATTGAGATATCCTTAAATATGATAATAACGTACAAAACTCTAGAACACGTTTCAAGTATATTAAAATTGTTCTTCATTTTTAAAACGTGTGTCATATTTTAATTTCTGAGATCAAATATATATCACATTAAAAAATTGTTTTTAATCTTTACAAATCCGAAAAGGGTTCCCCTTGATCCTTCTCTCTTTTGTACCTTATTATTAATAATTTTTTCCACATATCGTCCAGAACTACAAAGCATTATCGTAGGAGCGTGTGAAATAATGGACATACTGCTTTTCAATAGGAACACTTTTTGTAAAAATAAAGCAGCCGTAAGAAAAGCTGGAATATTCAAATATGCAAAGCGTTAAAATAAAATAAGATGAAACTCGCGGAGTCGATATCAATATTGAAATCAGGATTAAACTATTTATTTTAAACTATGCTTCGTGTCGGTTAAGCTCAGCTTGATACAAGCACCAAAATGGCCTGATTCTTGGTGATTCTTGTCTGAGACAACAATAGCCTATCGGACTTCGTGTAATTGTCAAGCATTGTACGTTCTACGCACGTTAACGCGTTATACGAGCAACTCGTGACGACAAGCTGGCGCTAACAGGCACCCACCGTAGGATCGTCAATGTGCAGATAAATTATTCAGTCAAACAAGTTTAAATTATTCCTTCAAATTACTCCTTGCACTTACTCATTATCAATCTAATTAACCTTGATGAACCACGAGTTTATATTACAATTAATATAATTACAACGATAGCACAGCATGAGCTTTCATCCAACGATAGTTTTTAGAACGTTGAACATAAACTCTCGCATCTAAAACTATCGAGGCAAATCGTTCGTATTTATATTCGTCTCGATATTGATCTTTATTTATCAATTCAACAGATACAGGTGGAAATAAAAGTGTGTCCTATCGTAGATGAATTCTATGTCTATCTATCATGTAAAACCATAGATCGCAATCTAATAGTTCTTTTGAAAAATGGCATTCAACACTGCGGAGGCGTGCGTGCTAACAGCGACTTTATGATTCTGAACAAATGGATGTCTATTTTACGTAATTTTTGTATTAGGCTTCGCTAACATTTGATTTATCACAGTTGTAGCATCAGTGTGAGTCTATAATAATCAAATGATAGAACTAACAGTTCACATTATTCGAAATATAAACATTAATATAGACATCCACGCGTCCAAAATCATAAAGTCGCTGTTAGAACGCACGCGTTCGCAGCGTTCAATGATTAAGAAACTTTTTGCCATTTTTCAAAAGAACTATTACGTTGCTACCTATGATTCCTTGGAAAAGTTTCACCCTCGCGATGAGTAGAATACAATGCAAAAACAAAAAAAAAAAAAAAAAAAAATTTGACTTTGAAATGCAAGGTGAAAATCAATTTTGCGGCAGGTTCTTTACACGCATCTCCATCAAATCGAAGGTCTAGAATTCATCCATGATAGCCACGGACAAACTTTTCTTTCCACCCTGTACACACAAACATTTTACAAACGCGCGACACATATCCCTCTCTCTTTTCTTCTGTTCCCAGCGCATCGTTCGTTCTAATCCAATGCGAACAGGGAAGCGAAATCGCGAAAAAGACGACGACGACGACGACGACGACGAGGAGAAGGAGGAGGAAAAGGAAGAAGAAAGCCCATAGGTTAACGTGGAATTTATTTCGACGATAATCGTAAGAGACACCCGCGCTCTCTCAGGTAGGATCGGGGGAACGCGGAAGTGCGTGTGCGCACGTTGAGCGCGTAGGTTTGTATAGCCGCGAACGCGCATAAAACGTGGCTGCGTAAAAAGCGCTTGTCGTGCAAACAACGCGTTCTATGATAGCGCGCAGGAAACGCTTGTCGCCAGTACCGTAAACACTGTCACGGGCCTATACGAGATCCGATATCTATAGTCTTTCACTTAATATTTGCTATATACTTTACAACTGTAATCTTTATAGTTTGCAGCGCGACTGTCTATTCGTAACAGCGACTTTACGTTAGAAAAAAAGCTCTATAATAACACGATGGGTCAAAAGTTTATTTTTTTCAGTGAAAAAAAAACATCAAAATATAAGGGGAAAAACTTGATTTCATTAATTTTAAGTTAAACATGATTACTCATTATGTTTTGAAAATTATTTCTCTCAAACGTATGAAAGAAAAAAGTAAATTAAAAAGTAAAAAAAAATTGCGAATTTATTTTAGTGGGAAGTGATTCTTGGCCCACCTTGTATATATATCGGAGAATGGTTGATACGAAAAATCTTCTGTAAATTGATTGACAAAAGAATAAAAGTTGAAAGCCACCGACTGTAATAGCAGAGCATAGATTGTAAATAGTAATATGACAAAACTGGAGTCACTTTGATTCGTGTGTACAATTTGATCGTGTGATATAACAATAATTTGACATGTGCCAATTGAAAGAAATTGATATCAATCAATTGGAGAAATCATACAGATAGTTATGAAAGAAATCTGGCACTTAAAAGTGTATTGACTCCTGTAAATTATCTCGAAAATTATCTTAGATTAGAAAAGTTAATAGTTATCAGTTTTTTATCATTTAGAATCGCTAAAACGAAATTAAAAGATAAGAGAAGCAAATTTTTCTCGATCTCGAAATACACACTCGGTCGCAATGTTATTTCTGCAACGTTACATTGTCTTTGTACACGCATGCAGTAAAACGTGAATCATCTTGGAAATATTTACATAGTATTTAATATTATTTTTAAAATATACGACCGCCAATTCGCGACAAACGTCACTAATTATAGAGCTTAACTGGATATGATTGACTATTAACTGTAATTCAGCGATAAAAAAAAAAGAATGATATTTTCTTTCTTCAATTTATCGCGCGTATCTCTCTTATCTGTGAATTAATCCTGAATACTCCGATCGTTTCACGCAACCATAAGTTTAGTTGCCGGGCGACACTCTGACACTCGTAGCGAGTTTAATTCTAGACGTCGATAAAATTCAACTCGAGTAACCAGTGCTCTTTGCGACAGCAAATATCCCGAGATCTAGAACTAAATCTACATGTGCGAAGAAAAATATGTAATACTAAGTGTTCTTCACTAATCGTGACGATTAAAAGTTATAATTATTGATATATTTTAACGAACAATATTTGAAATTCATATTTTTTTCAGTGTTCTAGATATAACTAAATAAGAACATAATACACGAAGTGACTTATATCGTAGAAGTATAACGTCTGATAAAATGAGTGAGTCCCAAGTGTGATAAAAACCGAAAAATAGAGAGCCATATTGTTTGGGAACACAGGAACCTTAAGTCTCAAGAAAATTGAGTTCAAAGAAAAGAAGATACAAACATTCTCGTTGCTTGCCAAGCATAAACGAGCGTTAATTGTACAAATGAAAGAAAGCAACGACGGAGTGTTGTCAAGTGCCGAAATTAAAATCCAAGGAATAAAAAAAGAAGAGGGATATCTTGATCGACGATCGGCGGACAAATGGCGGGAGAATGTCGTTCGAATCATTACGTAAATGACACGAGTGTTAAATGTGTCGAAGCGAGCGATGATTAAGCTGGCTGAACGATACACAACGATACGTCGAATAAATATATACATTGTCGACGCGATCAAGAATTAGTCTGTACGTCAAATTCGACTTGAGACGAAAAAGTGGGACATGGCTAGCCTGGTAGCTGCTGATTACGCGGTGATCGTCGTGACGATGCTGATTAGTTCGGGAATCGGTGTGTACTATTGGCTCACCGGAGGGAAACAGAGATCGACGGAGGTAAGTTCAATCTACGTTCGATCGTTTTTTCCCTGTAACAATTTTGCGAATTTCACACTAGAGAACTTTCTGTATTATCAGGTTATGATGTACATGGGTAAGAGTAGAATATATATTCATCTTTCATTTTTCACTTTAAACTTTCTATA